TTGTATGAACTCGTAAATCTACTTGCACACACATGCACACCAGCACCTGTGCACAGACTCATGCACACCCAGGGAACACCCTAAGGTGCACCCTGTTCCTCGTTTATCAGTAGCCACTCCACGTCACTGTAAAAGGAGTGCTCTCTTCTTTTCAGGGCTGCATGCTATTCCCTGTGTGGCTGCTCATCTTCTACCTACCTGAGCCCCACCAAGAGGTCCATCACCACACAATGACTCACCCAGGGACCCCTGGGGCAGGCAGCGCCCCTGTGTGGTCCCCTGGGCTCCCCCTCACTCTTGGGCTTGGCCCCTTCTCCGGGGTTCCTTCCTGTCCACAGCAGGAGCACCCCAGGGTCCTGCACACCTTCGCCTCTCTGAAGAGCAGCTTTCCTGTGTCTGTGGAGGCAGAGAGCGGCTGCTGGCCCTCCGCACCAGGGAGGGAGGACAGGACGCCGGCGGCCAGACATCGCCTCGGCACCACGGGCCAGAACCGTGTAGACGGCGCCAGGAACAGTGCCCAGTGGGCAGGAAGGGCCTGGTGGGGCACTTGGGGTCTGGGGATATGAGCTGCCACCCTGACCCCCTTTGCTGGCCAGGTCACCTGGGCCACTCTTTACCACTGTCCAGTAGTGGGTAAGCTGGATTCAGAGACCTCCAAGAACAGGTCTCTGAGACTCGGGCAGGAGAGGAGAGCCCCGCGCTCAGCCCATGCCCAGTGGGATCATGGTCATCCTGTGGGTACACGGGATGAAATGTTGTGTGTGCTGTCCCCAGACGTAGCAAGTGTGAGGCGTGCCCGGTGGGCTTGGGGGGTCGCTGGCCTGGGGGTCTGGGCTGTGGCTCTCGGCCACGTGGACATTCCCCACGCCCAGGGGCTCAGAGCCCACAGCACACGGAGGCCCAGAGACCAACACGGCTGTGGGGGCCGCGGGCCACCTCCTCTCCCTTGGTTCCCGAGGGGCCCTTGCACACTAAAGCGCATGAGTCCTGTTGGCCGTGGGAAGCCGTGAACCAAGTGACCTTTTGACCTCTCTCTGGACCCCAGCCCCAGGACCCGGGATGGGCCATCGCGCACAGGGGCCGATGGAGCTAGCTGCTGCCTCCGGACACCCGGGGCCTCCCCTGGTGCAGACCGCTGTCTCGGACCAGGGCTGCCCGGCTCGTCCGGCTTCGGGGGAGTTCTGTCTGCTCGACGTCGGCCGTGTCCCTCCAATCCCACCGCTGGCCGCCCAGTGACCTCTGGATATGGGAGAGAGAAGACGTCATTCTTCCCTCACCCAGTGAACTCTCTGAGATGACCAAGTGACAGAGGCCAGCCTGGCCTTTCCAGAGAGGCCCCTGGGGCCCTGCGTGGCTAGGGCTGGACCAAGAGCCCACGCCCAGGGGCCGGGGAGGCCACAGCCCTCCCCCCGAGCAGAGCGAAGCGTCCCCAGAGGGGCTCCTCTGGGCGGCGGCGGCCGGGCAGGAAGGCCGGCCGGCCGACAGGACCCCCGGAGGGGAGGAAATGGCCAGCCGAGTCCAGACGCGTTATCGTGCCCGCGCGGGCACCAGCCCACACTCATCCATCGTCCCGCTGTGGACTTCCTGCCTCAGGATTTACGCCATGACTTCACCCCCTTGCTATCTCGGCCCGCTGCTGCCCGCTCGGCTCTCAGGAATTAGCGGCAGATAACAAGTCTAGACAGCCGGGTTTTAAATGGATCCTTCTCCCGGGAGAGGAGGATGGCTGGTCGGGGCCGGACCTGGACCACGCTCAGGCCCAGACTCTGTGCTGGGGGGCGGCGGCCTCCCGGCTTCGGCTGGGCCAGTCCCACCCCAGGTCGGCTGGCACGGTCGCAGCCACACCGCCTGGCCAGGGCTCCCCAGGAGCAGGTCCCCGCAGGGCTGGCCCAGGACCCAGCCCGGCAGAACCCCGAGCAGTGGGGGCTGCGCCTGGGTGGACGGAAGCCCCGTCCGACAACTCCTCCCTCCTGCCACCCCCACGGCCAAGAGCCGGAGCCAGCACCAGGGTTTCCAGAGAGACTCGAGGGGCGTCCTGCGGAGGGGGGCCCAGGGACACGCCCGCGCCTGCCTCCTGGCTGCTCTGGCCCGAGTCCCTTTCCTCCAGCTTAGCGAGGCTGCCCCCGCTGCCCCTCCACCCTCCCATGAGTTGTGTCCCCAGATTCACGCTCCGCGCCCGCTGCCAGCACCTAGAACCTGCCCTTATTTGGAAACAGGGTCCTTTGAAAATGAAAGTAGTAGGGATGAGGTCACGCTGGAGCAGGGTGCCCTCTACCACTGCCTACCAGTGCCTTGGGAGAGGCCCACTCCCACCTGGTGGGTGCCTGCCACTCCTGGGCAGCGGGGGGACGGGGCACCCACAGCCAGCTCCTTTGCTGCTCTGGTGGGAAACCCCAAGGGGCAGCACACAGCCTCCCAAAGGCCCCAAAGGCCCCTGGCCCTGCTGTCCACAGTGGCTGTCCACCCAGAGTGCACCCTGCCTTGACTTCCTGGTGTCCCGTCCCCCTCTGACACTTCCTGAGACCATCCCCCAGCCAAGCAGCGGTGGTCCACCTGACCACTGACCGTGCGCCAGGGGGCCCAGACCAGGACACTGAGGAGCAGAGCCCTGGACAGCAGGGCCAGAGACCACCCAGGGCCATGCGCATCTGTTCTCTGGGTCCCTGATGGGTGACAGTCCCTCACCAGGCCAGCCTGAGGGCCCGCCAAGGATGGTCACTTCTCTCCACATCTGCTCTTCCCTGAGCAGGAGCAGTGACCATGACTAGGTGCAGCTGTCCCCTGAAGACGCAGCATCTTAGCCCTTGTCCCCACCCAACACCGACCCCTGGGGTGTGGCTCCACGGGATTCTGCCCGTGGGACGAGAGGGGAAGAGACCCCCAGGCCCCAGACTGTCCCTCCAAGGGAAGTCTCAGGTCTTATCCCCTGGCCTCTGACATGCTGTCTGAAATGTGACCTCATGGGACCTAAGAT